ATTAATCTCTCATCATTAACCAAAAAAACTCTTCCCACAGTGATGTTTGTTGTGTTTTCTACACTCTCTTTCATATTTCTAATTGTTATATTAATTTTTGTGCTGAGGTACTTATGCAAAAAAAATGACCAATGCAGATGCTCTTAGTATCTGGCGACAATGACACAGTATACCATAATGATTAAATCTGTGCTAATAAGAATTCAATTTGACAAACATTCTTCTAGCTTCGGTTTTATTGCATGTGCTTCGTCAGATATAAAAATGCCACCACGATATTGTGTGATGTTGAATATAAAACTTAGAAACTATAAGCATCCATTAATCAAGAACAATAAAAAAAATGCTATTTAGAAAAAGAAAAAGATAACACTTTATTTCATTGATAAAACTTGTAACAAATTACAAACACTAGATTGAAAGATAATGGTAGAATAAAACAAGAATATTCAAACAAGAATCGTATTTTGGTGAAAACTTAGAACATTGATTTAAAAATGTGCTATCTCTAAGCACATTTGAAACCAGATGGAACCTTGGTACGACACTGGTTAAGGAGAACACTCAGTGAAATAGGAACACGAAGATTAATAATGCCAAGGACATTAGCCTTCAAGGTGGTGCAGAGACAGACTCCCGCATCGAGATTAACTAGACCTTGGACAAGGCTGCAACATTCGGCCTTTTGTGGTAGAGAAACCTTAACCAAATTCAACACGTTGGCACATACCTTAAGTTTCAGAGCATCTTTACAAGTGGGTTTGGGGTAAGGGGCGGGAGTCGAGCTGACAAAAGTGAAGAAGATGACATTCAAAACAAGGAGAAGAGCAATCTTAGAGTAAGCCATTGATGAAGGAGTGATAGCTTTAAGAGATTTCTCTTAGAAAGTTATCTCCCTCTTTATCAAGCTTGTGGTGCTGTGTGGAGAAAATGGAGAGAATTGTATGGTTTTTATAGGCGAAAATTCAGATCGGCTAATGTGTTTTTGATTACAATTCCACGAGTAGCAACGAAATGACATTATAAGTTCGATGAACTGTTCATGTGAAGGATTAATATATTTGAAAGTATAATTATGACGATTTGATTGATATTACAAACTGTCAAGACATAAGGATCACTAGTCGTTACATGTAACATGCAAGAACTATTAAATTAGTCAATAATACACAAGGATCATAGCTTATATTAATAAATAATATAAATAAAACGACAAGTATATTTGTACGTATATGTGACTGTAATACCTTTTGTACTTATTATTAGTTATGTAACATCTTATTTTTTGTGTAAAAGTTTAAATTTTATATCATTTTTAAAAGTAGCAGATTAAACAAAAAATAAAAAATTACAGCAAAAATAGAAAGTTGAATTTCTTGAAGTTGAGTAGAACACTAAGGTGTTGATTTTTTTAACTAGGTTTTTTCATTTTGGCTTTATATTTTTAGATTTTTTTTAAAAAAAAATTTCAGGTTTTTTTTTATTTTCAACTTTTGATTTTTAGTTTTTAAATTTTGATTTTGGTTTATGGGTTTGCTGTTATTTTTTTGGTATTTCAAAAAATGACTAATACTTATTTTAAAATAACAAAATAGCAATAAAAGTTTCTATTAAAAAGTTCAAAATACAATGATTTTTTTAAAAAATATTTTTCATTATCACATTCTTAAAAGAAATATTATACTAAGATACAGTATATTTCTAAACCTAATTTTTTATGATATAGAAAGATTATGAATATTATAAGATACAAATGTTTTCTTACATATTTGATTTTCATAACCAAAAAAATATTGAGTCAATAAAAATACAAATAAAGAGAAAAAAAGAAATAATAAACACCAACAAAAAACTAAAAAATCGCATTTCATATCTCCATAGTATAAATAAGGTTTTATGTTTTTTGTAACGACTTTAGAATCTAATTTTAACAGCAAAAAAAATTCTAAGTATCTCAACACCTTAGATCAATTGATTTAGTAGGCTTATAATAGGTGATCTTTACCTCTTGTTTATTAATTGTTTGTATATCAATGATTCTCAACTTCTTTAATTTTTGGACACAAGTACTGGATGATAAGAGTTGTAAAATAAAGTTTTATGTTCTATTGTAGTTTTTAATCATTTTTAATTAATAAATGTTTTCAATCTAATGCATGTCATTTACGCAACAAAAACTCTTTGATTACTTTTTCATAAAACACATTTATTCTAAAATAACATTCAGACCATAAGAATATTATAACATATTAAGTATTATCAGAGCATCTTTAATGTATGCTTTTATATTTTCCTCTAAAATAGAGATTTCTATCATAGAGATATACATTAGAATAAATCAGGAGCGGATCCAAGCAGGCCCGTCTTACGAAAATTTAGGGCCCAGTGCTTGGTTTTAATTTTTTTTCAAATGTACTTAGGAATATAACCATTAAATCACTAAAATAATTGGGCCTATTTTACTGTGTTTTCTAAATAATTAGGGCCCTAAATTATAAAGGAAATTAGTGAAATTAAAATTGGGCCCTGTGCAAAAGCACTGTGAGCACACCCTCAAAACCGGGCCTGGATCCAAGTGAGAAGGAGATGTGGCACAAGCTCCATACTCATTTTATTTTTACTTTAATAATTAATCTTAAAATTATTTCCTTAGCTTATATATAAATTATATTATGTACTCCATATATACTTTATAAAGTTCTCGGTACGCCTTTGGATTTATAATAGAGATTCTCTATTTTCGGTGGAAATATAAGGTAAAAATAGAGGTAGACAGGAGATCGGTCTCATTGGTGACTAACAAATTGGTCCGCAAAACTGCTTAACCTGCGAAGTGAGCATGCACCACAAATCTATTTGAACTGCAACATGCGACAAATCAGCCCACGCGCTTCGTGAAAACCTAAATCCGTTATGGGTTGGGTTATATAAACGTAGGTTGGTCCGTTTGACATCTATGCACCATGTTAGTACGTTGATCTTCTTTGTGAACGGTCGAACTGGTATCGGTTTGATAAAAATAGGTAGCAGGTTCGAGCATTAACTTTCTAGGTTGTTTGACTGCTTTGAAATATTTTTGGCTTATTTGCAGTTTAATATGCCAATTTCTTTTTATGTTTTGCATTTTGTATTTAGGGGGCTTACTGGATCAAGGATTTGAACGGATTTTAATTTTTCTCAAATCCTCTTTTATTGTATCTTGCATCTATAAATTCTATATGAAATTCAAATTTATTAGATTAGTCATTTATATAAATTTCTCTAAAAAGAGGTTTATTGGATCAAGGATTTGAGCGGATTTCACTCTTTATCTCAAATTCTCTGTTATTGTATCTTGCATTTATAAATTCTATATAAAATCTAATCTTATTGAAAAAATGGATTTTATCAATAAAATTCACTAAATGGAATTTGGTGAAGTTTGAAGGATATTTTATAGTGAAAAAGTAAGGAATTGAAATACTACCTCCTATCATTGTATCTGAAAAACATAATTGAAAATAAAATAAAAAAATCTTTTCACTTTTTAAAAAAGAAAATTAAACTGTTTGAAATGAAAAAAATGAGAAAAAAATATTTGTCAATCAATTTCAATTTCTTTATATATTTCCTAAGACATTAATATCAAATTATAGTAATTTTAAATTAAAAAAAAAAGAAATTTAAAATTATTATTTAAAACTTTGAAATTTCTTCAAAACCCCATAAAATTTGTAACAAATTCTTTTAAAACTTACTCAAATTTCAGATTTACTGAAATCTTGAATTCTATGATTTGTCTTTTGTATTTAATGTTTTGGTCTTCTATGATTTCTTATAAGAATCGAAGATGGGACGACTTAAATATTTACTTGGTATCAGATTTAGCTAAGCATAATATTTGTCGGTGGTGACGATTTAACTATTTTCTGGTTGGGTGTCTATTCATTGATAAAATTATGCTCCTTAATTATTGTTTACTGTTAATATCTGGCCACAATGACAGAGTAAACCATATGATTAATCTGTGCTAATAAGTTGGGTTCCACAAAAGCTTCATCAGACATCCGTTTCCCAATTCAAAACTGGAATCGAAACATTGTGAAAGCTTACGGAACCTCATATCCAAAACATTTCTGAAATATCATATTAAAAACTACGTTGGAAACTTACGATTTGTTTTTGGAACCATACTTCCACTTACAAAAACACAGTATCATAATAAAATAATTATGTTATGTTTGTGTAAAATTTTAAATTTAATAATACTAAAATAGAGAAAATAGAAACATGAAAATAATAAAATGAATACTATAAGCTATCTTGATGCACATATCTTTTTATTAGAGATATAACATATATATTTAAATAAACTGTTTCAATTATTTATGAAATATTTATTTAATTGAAGAATATTTTTTCTACTTAATTTTTTAATATTTCATAATTATAATATAAAATTATTGTAAATTATTGTAAATTAATAAATGTTTTCTTTTAATTTGAGTCATATACTTTTAGACAGAAATTTTATATTATATATATATATATATATATATATATATATCTGAATATTCACTTGTAACACGTATATATTCACTACCTAAACTTTTGAAAACGATCGATTCTACACTTTCATACAGTTCCGTTATCACGTACTCGCTTCTGATTCCATATAACATAGTTAATAAGAATTCATTTAGACAAGCAGTCCTCTAGGTTCGTTTTTATTTCATGTGCTGCTCAGATTTAAAAGTTCCATGGTATAGTGTGATATTGATATTTTCTTTTTGTTGTAACACGTGTGATATTGATATATAAAACTTAGAAATTAAGAAGCATCCCTTAATCAAGAACAATAGTATGCTATTGTTATTTTTTTAAAAGAATAACACTTTATTTCATTGATAAAATTAACATGTAGCAAATTACAAACAACAGATTAAAAGATAATGGTAGAATAAAACAAGAATCGTAGTTTTAGCGACAGTTTAGAACATCGATTTAAAAATGTGCTATCTCTAAGCACAATGGAAACCTGATGGAACCTTGGTACGGCACTGGTTAAAGAGAACACTCAGTGAGATAGGAACACGAAGATTAATAATGCCAAGGACATTAGCCTTCAAGGAGGTGCAGAGACAGACTCCGGCATCGAGATTAACTAGACCTTGGACAAGGCTGCAACATTCGGCCCTTTGTGGTAGAGAAACCTTAACCAAATTCAACACGTTGGCACATACCTTGAGTTTCAGAGCATCTTTACAAGTTGGTTTGGGGTAAGGGGTGGAAGTCGAGCTGGCAAAAGTGAAGAAGATGACATTCAAAACAAGGAGAAGAGAAATCTTAGAGTAAGCCATTGATGAAGGAAGTAGTGATAGCTTTAAGAGATTTGTCTTAGAAAGTTATCCCTCTTTTATCAAGCTTGTTGTGATGTTGTGTGAATAAAATGGAGAGAGTGGTATGGCTTTTATAGGCGAAGATTCAGATCGGCTAATGTGAATTTATTTACATTTTGACGAGTGCCAACGAATGATATTATAAGTTCGATGAACTGTTCACGTGAAGGATTTTGAAAGTATAATTATTATGAACTGATTGATATTACAAACTGTCAAGAGATAATCATAATAAGTTGTTACATGTAACATGCAAGAAATATTAAATTAGTCAAACACAAAGGCTCATAGCTTATATTAATAAATAATCTGAATAAAATGAAAGAAATAAAAAAGTAAAATTTCTAAGTAACTATCCTAACTGCTTAAATCACCTGATTTAGTAGGCTTGTGGGTGATTTTTACATTTTGTTTTTATATTAATGAATCTCAACTTCTTAAAAAAAAAATTGACATCTAACTTCTTTAATTTTTGGAAACAAGTATTGCATGATAATTAAAAAGCACATCATAACTGACTAACTCAAATGATATAAGTAGTAAAATATATATGTTGTGATACTGTTTATTGCATGATAATTCAAATGATACTGTTTTATTATAATATTTATCGTTTCTCTTTTATAAATAAACCTTTTCAGTCTAAAGCATGTCATATAAACAAGAAAAACTCTTTCATTACTTTTTTTTTTTGTACATCACATATATAAGGGGCGAAGCTAGAAATATATTTTTTAATGGATGCATCATTGTATAAAAATAAAATAAAAGCAAAAGATGGACTCGAGCTTGAAATATTATGGGTGCACATGAGAGATTTTACCATTATACATAGCACAATTTCATTGATTTTACATATAAAACTGTACATATTGATATTTTTATGGGTGCACAGGCCCCATAGCATATGCTGTGCCTTCGCCCCTTCACATTATTATTGTTTGATATTCAGATCGTGTAATGATATAGCATATACATCATCAGTGGCGACGAACAAATTGGCTCACAAAACCGCTTAACCTGCCAAGTGAGCATGAGTATATCTATATGAACCCCAACCTGTGACAGATCAATCCACACGATTCGTAAAAAAAAAAACTAAATCCGTTATGGGTTAGGCTACATAAACGTAGATTGGTCCGTATGACAGCACCATGTTGGTACTTGGTACTTTGAACTTCTCTGTGAACCCGATTATTGGTCGAACCGGGTATCCGGTTCATTAGAATTAGGTCGCTGGTTCGAGAATTAACTCCTTAGGTTGTTTGACTGCTCTGAATTTTTTTTATTTGCATTGATATGCTAACTTCTTTTTATGTTTTGCCTTTTCGTATTTAATTAATATCTTGGTCTTCTATGGCTGCTTCATATAAACATCGAATATGGGACGACTTATGGTATAAATTTAGATAAACAGAATACTTCTCGGTGGTGACGGTTTAAATATTTGTTGGTTTGGGTGTCTATTCAAGTGTTCATTGAATAAAATTATGCTCCATAATTAATTTGTTTTGGATTGTTAGTGTATGGCGACAATGACACAGTATACCATCTATTCTATCTATTCTATTAAAATAGAGTCATTTTTTTTATCTACCAATACAAGTTGTCATTTAAATTTGGACCCTTTCTAGAGTGTTATAAATATGTAACACAAGCCATATAATTAATTGAACCGCATTACTTAAATTAAACCGATGGTTATTTATGGGATATAGTATTGGGCTTACTTTTGTTTTTAAAACAAATTATATAGTTTGGCTTTTAAGCTTAGAATTAAAGAAACACTCCACAAAATATTGAATAAACTTTTCATCTTAATAGATCAAAAAATCAATTATTATTTCTAGGCCCAAAAGGTATTTAATATTTATAACAAAACAAAATTGTTTATTATTAATCATTTATTTAAATCATGTACTTTAAAACATGTTAATGTATTTTTTTTATTTTAAATAACAATCACTTTATTTTGATAAATTTCAATTGTAACTTTTAAATAATTTATTATTTTATTTTTCTTAAATAATTTACTGATTTAAAAAAATGTAAAGCAAAACCAAAAATCAAATCTAAAAACAAAAATCAATACCAAAAAATGAAAACACAAGTTATATTTTTTTTTGCTTTTTTATTTACAAAATAAACTATTGCAAATTTTTTTGTCATCTTTTCAGTTTTAAAGTAGATGTTCGATTATTTAGGATTTGTTTGTTGATAATATCAGTTCAAACTAACTCAACGGATCTAAAAATTAAAAACACAAACCAAAAGCTGAAAATCAAAAATTGAAACTTAAAAACTAAAAATCAATAACCAAAATCTAAAACAAAATCTAAAAATAAAAACTGAAACTAAAAACTAATGAAAAACAATCATCACCACAAATTTTGGTGACCTGATTTTATACCAAAACATTCTTTAAATTAAGACAAAACCCAATTATATAAAATTTTAATTATAAAAAATTTCCGCGCTTGAACAAAATCTAGTAATGATTAAATTTGTGCTAATAACAATTCAATTAGACAAACATTCCTCTAGGTTCGGTTTTATTGCATGTGCTTCGTCAAATTTAAAAGTGCCACGATATTGTGTGATGTTGAATATAAAACTTAGAAACTCTAGCCATCCATTAATCAAGAACAAAAAAAAAAAAGATAACACTTTATTTCATTGATAAAACATGTAACAATTACAAACAATAGATTAAAAGATAATGGTAGAATAAAACAAGAATATTGAAACAAAAATCGTATTTTTAAGTGATAATTTAGAACATCGATTTAATGTGCTATCTCTAAGCACATTGGAAACCAGATGGAACCTTGGTACGACACTGGTTAAAGAGAACACTCAGTGAAAGAGGAACACGAAGATTAATAATGCCAAGGACATTAGCCTTCAAGGAGGTGCAGAGACAGACTCCGGCATCGAGATTAACTAAACCTTGGACAAGGCTGCAACATTCGGCTTTTTGTGGTAGAGAAACCTTAACCAAATTCAACACGTTGGCACATACCTTGAGTTTCAGAGCATCTTTGCAAGTGGGTTTGGGGTAAGGGGCGGGAGTCGAGTTGACAAAAGTGAAGAAGATGACATTCAAAACAAGGAGAAGAGCAATCTTAGAGTAAGCCATTGATGAAGGAGTGATAGCTTTAAGAGATTTCTCTTAGAAAGTTATCTCTCTTTTATCAAGCTTGTTGTGATGTTGTGTGAATAAAATGGAGAGAGTGGTATGGCTTTTATAGGCGAAGATTCAGATCGGCTAATGTGTTTTTGATTACAATTCCACGAGTAGCAACGAAATGACATTATAAGTTAGATGAACTGTTCATGTGATGATGTGAAGGACTTGACATATTTTAAAATAAAATTATTATGAAATGATTGATCTTACAAACTGTCAAGTGTCAAGACAAAAGGATTACCAGTAATTACATGTAACATGCAACAAATATTATGTTAGTGAATATATATAACAAGTCTCATAAATAATATTCTGTTCCTGTCTCTCTTGTTCATATCCTCCACGAGGATCACATTTATTCTTCATAATAAAGAAACAGTTGTCGTTAAAAAAAAATTGTCCAAGAAATTATTAGATGTTAGTTATCTCACAAACAAAAAAAAATATTAGATGTTAGTTAAGTTCATATGAATGAGTGTATTGATTTACACCTTTTTTAACGACTAAACCAAATTTTAAGAAGTTCGTTCTTTAAAATCATTTCGTTTAGGTCCAATTTACTAATTAGAAAGACCTCACAGCATTATATAGATCGATTTGAACACTGAAATAAAATGACAAGTATCTTTTTACTTGTCATTTTGACTGTAATTCAGTTTTTTGTTTTATTCTTTTTGTGGTATGTAACATTGATATCTTGTGATTTTCATTGAATTAACTAACCATTTCTTATGCATATTAGAGTTTAGGATTGCATAAAAGCATTTTTAGGTTGCATATCCGTTTGCATTTGTTTACATTAGGTGATGGAGTACCTCAAGAAGCCTTTAAGGGAGTTTGGAGTAGTTTTGGTTCAAGAAAGGCTGAAATGATCAACTTGCGAGTTTCAAGTGTCACAGCGAGGTCTGAGAGCGACATTAGGGGGTCGCAATGTCTTGAGCGAGCTTCAGCGCGGGGTCTCACCCGACCTTTAGACCCCGCTCTGGACAGAACTTACCCGGAGATGAGTTGTGCATCAAGTGTCACCGCGGGGTCACACAGCGACCAAGGAGGGTCGCTCCAGCTTGAGCGTGCGCCAGCGCGGGCCTTTCACCCGACCTTTAGACCCAGCAGTGGACAGGACATCCGGAGATCATACTTCCAAGTGTTGGAGCGAGGTCTCCCAGCGGCCAAGAGGGGTCGCTCCAGATCAATCGTGCACCAGCGCGGGGTCTCACCCGACCCTTGCACCCCGCTCCAGCACTATTCACTCTCGAGTTTATGTTTTAATTTGGGCCTAATTAACCTGTGAGTTAAGCCCATTAGCGTTTTTAAGTACCATATAAATACTCTTAAGGATGTTTTGAGAGATCTTATCTTGTTTTCTCTCCAAAACACTTGATACTTTGGTGAAAGTTTATTCCTTTGATCTAAGATTTCATCTTTTATCTTGTGTTCTTGAGATTATTTAAGTGTTTTCTTTGCTTTCTAATCATGATTTACCTTAAATCCTTCATAGGTTTAAGTGTGATCATGGTTATTAGTGAGTAGACATCTTTGGATTCATGGGTTAGGGAGATCAAAGGGGGATNCAACCTAAGAGATTAGATGTTTGAGTTATCTTTGCAAATGAACATTTGTCTAGGGATAGAATTTGTTTAGGAATGTGTCTAGACCTAAGGATGATAGATTGAATGAAAAGTTTACACCTTTAGATTGAACTTAATTCCCCCAAGATCAGTTCCCTTATCCCATGAGTTCTACATTCTCATTTTGAAAGAAAGCTTGATCATTATTTCTTATTTAGTATTCTCTTACTTTAAAAACAAAACCATTTTAATATTGATAGCACTTAGATTAAGCTATG